ACATTCCCGGCTGGCAGCAGCAGCCAGAGGAAGCCGGGAAGCGCTGGCAGAGGGGGCAAAGGCAGCTCAGGGTTCACGGTGCTGTTTATTGATATGAGACCTCAGTGGGATGCAGGAACCAGGTGCCAGGGGGAATTTTGTGGTCACAGCCGTGTTTGGAATGATCCCTTTCAGGAAAGCGGGTTTTAAGTGCTCTGGGAGGTGTAAGAGAGGAGGGAAAGCCATGCTCCAATTTGCTCCCCGCAGAGCATCCCTCCCACATGGCCCTTGGCAATGCTCCTGCTGCCTTCTCCTGCAGGAATTGAGGTGCGAGGGTGACTCTGTGGATGTTTATTAATCAGGTGACTCAAGGAAACCCTCAGCCAATGCTCCAGGGTGCTTCATCAGTGCTGTGGAAGGGATCAGCAGGCTCAGACTGCCATGGAATCACTGAAATCATTCCCTGGTGGAATCATTGCTGCTGGCAGTGTTTTCTTCTAGCCCGCCAAAAACCTTCTGGAGAAATTTCCTGAGGAACACATGAAACAGTTCTTCCAGCATCTCTGTAAAAAACGCCACTCACATGTTTTTAAAATGTTAAAAGTTTAACAGCAATAAAATGGTTATAAAATAGTAATATAATTAGAGTAATAAAAATGTGGACAATCAGGATTTAGCATAATACGGGACAATAAAAACGAAGAGTTACAGACAGTCCAGGTGCCTCTTTCTGGGCAAAATAAGCCCAAAAAAGGACACACATTAACAGAGGATTAACCCTTAAAAGCAATAGGCTGTTGCATATTCATACATCTCATACATGGTGCATAAATTCCATTCAAACAAAGGATTCTGTCTTGTCATTGTCAACTGCTCCCTCATAATCCTGACAGCATCTTCAGGACTGAGCGAGGCAGGAAGAAGTTCGTTTCATCTGATAAGGGAGCAATAAATTCTTTTTCTCTGAAAGAATTAGGTGTCCTGTGGTTGCAGTCTCAGGGAGAGTACCTCATTCCTCTCTTTTTAAAAAAGTATCTTAACAGCATTGCACTTGAAACTTTTTCTTTCTATTCTTGGAGTGTATTTTCTGCCAGTCCTCATCTCAACTCAGGAGACCTCTGTTAATTTTTGTTTCCCCCTCCTCTGCCCAGCTGAGAGCAGGAGAAGGTGAGTGAACAGCTTTCACAGGTGCCTGGCGTTTGGCCAGTGCCAAACCACGACAGGCTTGCAGCAGGTTATCAGCATCAGAGCCCACATTTCTTACTGACAGTACCCCTGATGATGCAATAAAAGCTATTGGAGGCGAGATGCTGGGGTGCTGTGGTGCCCCTTGCAGCCCTTCACCAGAGCTCATCCTCCTCCTCCTCAGCCTTGGGA